TCAACAACAATTGTTTAGATGTTCGTGACAACAACGGTTTATTGTATCAGCAGCAACAGCAACAACAACGACAACAACAACATCAACAACTACAAACAGTAGAAAGTTGCTCCCACTATCAGCATCAACAAAAACATCAACATCAACTATACTGCCAACACGATCAACTAATTAACAATTCATACAAAAAACTAAATCCGTATTTAGCAAAAAAGCCGATACAACAACAACAACAACAACAACAACAGCAACAGCAACAACATCCAAACTGGCTTCTTTCACAACCAATATCTCATGAAAACAACCTAAACTTATTTAACAACGTAAACAATAAGAATAACATAAATAACAATAATAATAACATAAATAATAATAATAATAATAATATTAATAATAATAACAAGTTACAACTACAACAACACTTCTTACATCTGCCAAATTTGTTGCAAGACGCCTGTCCAAAAGCTGAAAAATCAATTTACAGATTGTCAACTTTTAAACCGGAAAAATCAACAAACAACAACAACAACATCAACAACAAAAACAACAACACCAACAACAACAACTATAGCTATCAGCTTAAGAGTAGCAAAGATATAGACGAGGATGACAGGAATGAATAAATAATTGAAATTTGTCATTTCAGAACAACAACATTAATTACAACAACAACAACAACAATAACATCAACAATGTTCACAACTACACATACATATAAAATTAAACGTTGTATATATGCACTCATATACAAACTTCCTTGTGAAAGCTGTTGGAATTACTGTTATTGAATAAAATTAATTATTCAAACTAATTAAATATTAAACAATTAACTTAATTAACTTATTTAATTATAGTTAATTTATTATTTTATTCATTTACATTTGTTTTCGAGTAGGTCTTTTAAAAGAAAAAAACTAACTAAACCAAAATTAAAATATGGCCGATAGAGTCAGATTGTCTGCTAAGCGAGTAACTTTAAAATTATTTTTAGTAACTTATTATTTAATAATAAATATAATTTATAATTAATATTAGTCATAATTAACATTATTTATAAATGTAATCAATAATTAATGTTTGTTTTTGGTTTTTTTTGGGTCAGAATCATTATTTACCATGGTCAATCGTTACTATAATAAAAGGATTTGTGTACATGTTAAACGTTTATGAAAGAAATCAAATGAGAGAATGATTGGTTGGTTGGTTGATTGGTAAATTGATTGGATAATTAGTTGATTGGTTGGATGATTGATTGGATGATTGGTTGATTGATTGGTTGATTGGTTGATTGGTTGGTTGGATGGTTGGTTGATTGGTTGATTTGTTGATTGGTTGATTGGTTGGTTGATTGGTTGATTTGTTGATTGGTTGATTGGTTGGTTGATTAGGAAATAATTTAAAGGAATGAATGAATGATTAAATGAATGAATGAATGAATGAATTACGGAATATATGAATGAATGTATGAACGAACAAACCAGCAAATGTATGAACCAGCAGACAAATGAATGAACGACTAAATGAATAAAAAATGAATGAATGAAAGGATGAATAAATAAAAGAATGAGAGAATGCTTGATTGATTTGTTGATTGATTGATGCGGTCATTCCTTTATTTATTTTCAATCTGTCAATCCGCTCAGGCAACTTGTAATTTGATCATTTGTCGGATGTCATCTGTTCTCCAATGCTCATTCAACTTGTTCGTTCGTTCGTTCGTTCGTTCTTTTGATCGTTCGTTCGTTCGTTTGCTCGTTTTTGTTTTTTGTTGTTTGTTTGTTTGTATGCATGTCTGTTTGTTTGTTTGTCTATCTGTTTATATGATTGATTGTTTGTTTGATTGTCTCATCATATTCTCTTTTAAACATTATTGAAGGCATTTTCATTGTCAAAAAGAAGGTGGCTATTAACGTCATCACAGTTTCATCATCCTCACCATCATCATCCAAATCTTCATCTTCACCATCACCATCATCACCTGAATCTTCATCCTCATCATCATCGTCGTCTTCATCCCCTTCATTGACCAATGGTGATGGGGCAATCAAGCGTAAGGACATGTTTGGCCGGTTTCCCTGTAATGAGATAAATGTTTGTTTTGTGAATGTATCATTATACAAAAATACAAACGTGATACAAACATTATACATATACAAAACATGACGTGTATTTTTGTATAACGTTTAAATTTATGAATTATTTTGTATTTTGTAAAAAAGTAACACAAATACAAATATACAAACACACACACACACACCCACACGTATTATTTTTGTATATTGTGTGCTACACCAACACATACAATCATTTATCTATATATACATACATACATACATACATACATTCATACATACATTCATACATTCGATGAGATACATTTGCACACACACAAACAAACACATACGCACACCTACACACGTACGCATAAATATACAAATGTACTCATGTTTTGGAATGCTAAATCAGTGCTCCGGCGAAGCGCTCCCAAATCCATCCTTCAAATAAAACACACGCTCGAGTATTTTGGCGTATTAAAATAAAAGCGATGCGAACTTGTAAGCATGTGTGTTGCATTCGATATGAAACTTCAAACAAACATACACATACATACACAAAAATACACACACATACACACAAATACACACACCTATACACACACACACATACTTGCACACACATTCAAAAACACTTATACATAGTTATGTTAGTTTCATTTTAACGTGATGTAATGTTTTCATGAAGTCGTTGCAGGGTTTCTAAAGTGAAGTGTTGTAATTGCTGCAATATTGATGTTATATTAATGTCATTGTAATTTTTTTTGTAACGTTTATGTGATCCGGTTTGTATCACTGATGTAATTTTGGTGTGATTATGTTGTGATGTGTTTCATGATGCCAGCGTTACATTCATCCTGGTACAGCATCGTCATAGACATTTTATTACATTTCCATCGAAGGAAGTTGCATGGAAATGAAATGGGAGAAAGGTTTATATTGGGAAGAAAAACAGCTGAAACGTTTTTAATGATAAATTTTCTAATTGTGTTTATTCAAATTCACAGACTTCAAAACCATGAAACCGAAATAAGCATTTTATTTATTTATCATACCCCATCGTCGCCATCCTCATCGTCGTCGTCTTCACCATCATCATCGTCATCCTAATAACCATCGTCATCACATCGTCATCATCGCCATCACTTAATCATCGTCGTCGTCGTCATCATTAAGTTTATAGCGGGATGGAATTCTCCAAAGAAGTGTATCCTACTTTGGAAAGATCAATGGTCAAAGTTTCGGTCTAGATTTATGGTGATGGTGACGATGATGATGATGATGACGACGGGATGATAATGACGATGATGACGATGCACGCCTCATAATAGAAACTACATAGGTTCATTATTTATAAACTTCCATTAGCTTGAATGCTATTTAAAAAGCGTTTTACGCTTGAAAATAATATTTTTGAAAGCTGTATGAAAAATTACAATTTACATAAAAACAAACACACATACAAAACAAACACCGAGAGATACAATAAACATACAAACAAGCGCATAAACAAACATACAAAGATACGATAACCATACAAATGTACACACAAACAAACACATACAAACATATGCGTACGCAAAAATACAAACACGCGAATACAAACCAACATACACATGTATTAATAGCGTTACTAAATGCTGTTAGACTAAAATGCATCGTACATGTCGCATGTAGCTATTATATCATAAATATAAACTTAATAATATAAAATTTAATTATATTAAAATTTATATTAATTATAATATATTATATTAATTATATTAAAATTTAATAATATAAAAAATGGATAAACAAAGACCGCATCTACATAATGATAATTTACATCCAAATAACAAACTAAACACCTATTCATATTTTCACTATCATAAATTACAGTTACACAATATATATAATTTGTTTGCCTGGCACAAATAAAAGTTATCCAAATTCACTTTTTTCATCTTCCAAAAAAGTCCCTTTTTGCATTCGCAACCGGGCAGTACTAATTTCTTGAACGATCAGCACCGTACCATGCGAACGAATGACAATAATGTTTTATGTGGCAACATTTGAAAATGTGTTTAAAAACTTTAAAAGTACTTAAACAATTTCTCTAAATATTAACAATTTTTGTAACTGAGTCATAAAACCTAGAAAAAATGCAATTGTTTTTTTAAGCTTTTGATTTCAAAAAATTTTCTCAAATAAATGTTTTTCCTCAGAAACAAAACAAAAAGCAGGTAAATTAAGCGTGTTTTTAGTCTTTCTATACATTTAATTTCTGAAATGTACGTACATCTTAATACCATTTCCTCCCCGTTTCACATTTCAGACGCATCAGCAACAATCACACGTGGAAAAACAACTTTTCAATGCAGCTAATAAAAAATATGTTGGTTGATTTAATTGATCTAATTGCCCAGTAGCAACGTGTTTATTAATTATTTATTTGTTGCATGTTTATTTGTATATTTACTTTTTTCGTTTATTAGCTATTAGTATTGTTTATCATTATCAGTTAATCACTTGTTTGTTGTCGACGTACAAGGCTTAATATTTTGTTGTGTTGTCGTTGTTGATTTTGTCGTTGTTGATGTTGTTGTTATCGTTGTTGTTGTCGTCAGCACATTTTTAAACCTAAACAACAACATTATTAAAAAACCAACAAAGAAACAACAATTCAAAACGATATAAACAGACGTAAACACATATCCACACACCACACACACACACACACACACACACACACACACACACACACACACACAGAAAGAGAGAGAGAGAGAAACACACACACACACACACATACACACACACACACACATACCTATGAATATAAGAGACTGAACTAAACTCAGAGTATGTCGTGGATAAATAAAGATAATAAATGAGCACATCTACTTATTTTAAGCGCGTTCGAAATCATAAAATCTTAATTGAATATATACGTGATGTGGGCGGCGAAACGGTGCAATGGTTGGCAGTGACCCGGGTTTGAATGCTAGGAGAATCCGATCTCTTACATGCATGTGCGTGATTGAGAAGCTGTTGGCTTGTTGTTGTTTTTCTGAGAAGATATTTTAGTGAGAACTGTTGAAAATAATCACACTTACAATCATATGTTTTTACGTTCATACTTGCATATTAACATGAGGCATATATATATATATATACATATACATATACATACACATAAATCACATATAAACCAGCATGCATACATACAAACATAAAACAAACAAACAAACATACTTACATACATACATGTCTTTTCATCCCAGATCTGGGTATCCGATTCATCATCCTTTTCTTTTATCAACTTGTTTGTTTATTTGTTTGTTTGTATAATTTGTTTGTATGTTTGTGTTTGTGAGAGACAAATTAATTAACGAAAACTGTGCTTTTGGTTAATGTCTTGTTTGTTTGTTTGTTGGTATCCCTGGTCGTTTGTATGTTTGTTAATTAATTTGCTTGTTTCGGACTTGTTTGTATGTTTGATTGTTTTTTTGTTAATTATTCCATTCGTTTATGTGTTCGTTTGTTTATTTTTTGTTTACTCTTTCCAATTATCCATTATCATACAAACA